TCAGGGTTTTATGTAGAACAATATGGTTATTTTGTTTCTATGATATGGACAGCATTTCACATTTGTCCATTTTATCAATTATTGAATATAGCACAAATAAATTATGTACATTCACAAATAGAAATTGTATATATCTGCTCTCCTTATTCATAAATCTTTGATTGTGGAGGCATAATTGTAGATGAAGTTTTATATAAGAATCCCAAAATATAACCCTTACTCTCACCCAGCCCATACACAACCCTATGTGATGTCATTTTGGGATCCTTATATGAAATTTCACCCATAGTTTCTTTGACACAAACTCATAGAATTATATACAGCACAATAATTTCTCTGGAAGCATTTTAAAAACATCCTCAAAATTGTTTATTTGTATGTTTTCACTAATAAATTGTAGTCATCTTCAAGAGAGATCATTCCAGAAATTTATTAGTTGAATGTACAAATAAACAATTTAAAATGACTGTTTACATTTTTTCAGAGCAAGTATTATGCACTGTTTTTTTTTATCAAAGTACTCAGTAGTTCTGACAATACACGCTTTCGATAATTACGCCACACATACTTTTTGGTCTTGGAGCCTCGCTTTCATTAATAAATTATGCAAAGTGATTGGCTCACGATTCATGAGAGCAAGGCTCCCAGGCCAAATGACGTAATTATCAAAAGCCTGAAAAGGTTGTATATCTACTGTAATCTAAAATATTGTGGTACGTTCTTTTACAAAATCCACTGTTGACAGAGCAGGTAGACTGGCAATTGTTAGGGCTATTTTTGTTGGATCTTGATCAGATGTGGATGGTTTTACTTTCTACAGAAACTCTTTGCTTGCCTCTTTCAACACATGAGCACTCAGAATTGGAATGTAGCTCAGTAATTCTTCTCCTCAACAATCACTGGTTTCCATCTTTTAGCTCTCTTACTCGAACGACGGCTCCATACTCCATACTGATATCCAAGGGGGCAAAGATGATATCCTAAATGGGGTTTAAATATAACCATGGGTAGCTTCAAAAAATCACACCCAAGGGGGTCCTAAATTTTTATATCCTAAGGGGATTATTAAGCGACCCCTCAATAGGGGGGGGGGTATATATTTAAATGGCCCAATACATATAGGAATTTATGAAGTAATAAATCATATAAAAGTATAATTCAAGAGATAAAACAAGAAAAATATTCGAGATGAAATGGTAGCAAGGACTAGGAAAGCAAATACCGCCATGAGTTCTATGATGGGTATAGCCAATAGGGCCAATTATAGGCCCAATATTTACAGTGACAATAGAAAATAGGAACATGCAGTAGTATTAAAATCTTGTATATAAACTATTATATATTCAGTTCACTGTATATATCATTCATAAATTTAAAACACATAGGCGAGTATTAAAAAGGCATACGTATGAGAAAAAAGTATAAATACCTGAATTTAAAACTTATGTTTTTAATTGCCTTCGAGTTGATGTTGCTTGATGATGGCTTACTCGACTTGTCATTGTAGTTGATAAATTTCTTGTACATCCATCCACAGGTCATAGACATCATTGTGCAGGGAAATGGTCTTCCAAATCGCACTTCGTACGTACGTTCTCGTTAGGTACTAGGTAGCCTCCCTCACGCTTGCGTTTCCTCCCAGAACCACGTCTTTTCCCACCGTGCGTACCACTTCCAGGCGCTTGAAAAGATGGGCCAGGCTCACTGGCTCAGTAGGACAACGCAAGTTATCGTCACTGTCAGTTTTAGAGCTTTCCATAGCATTGAACGCATGTAAAAATGTGAAATTCGGCCAATACCGCTCGATGCTTCATCTGCACAGACGGGTATCAAATTACACTTCGCATACATAATAACTGTGATAATTCGGAACATCCGGAGATCAAATTATTAGCCTTGATTTCGCACAAATATACATCATTATATAACTGATTTTAAACACGTAAAACTTTCTTTACCCATTAGTACTGTAGACTGTATATACGACGCCATTTTGATTTTTAAAACTTGATTTACAACATTAAGTTTTTCAAGTTTTTGAACGCAATGCGCATGCGCGAATTTGGGTGCACTGTGCCTTTAAGTCGTATTGTTCAGAATTGAACATTATAAACATGTTCGAAATGTTTTCAGGGCATTGGCATGCAAGAACCTTAGATACACATTTTAATTGCTGCTCATTTCGCCTTTCGTCTAACGTTTTCCAGTTCAGTTTACTCAAAATGTCAAGGGAGCGTACTTCATATGAGTCGCCTGAAATAACCCTTTGCCGCTCGGTTTTGGAGTCTCTGTATCACCCCTTTTAAGGTTTTGCCACAGTTACCCCAAACCATTGAACAGTAATCAAAATGTGGTTGAACCAAGGCTTGATAGATATAGGTAAGAGTTCCAATTGAAACAAATGGTTTAATTCGGCGTAACATGCCAATGCCTTTTGAAACTTTTTTACTGATGTTCTCAATTTGCTTGTTTTTTCTACGTTTAATGTTAATTTGTTTGAGACGAGCCATTGATGAATATTGCTCATTTCATAATTCAGGGTTTTTTCCAAATTATTAAGACCATCTGAACCAACAGTTATATTTGTGTCATCAGGATAGATTGCGGCATGTGAATTTTCCAAACAGTTTGGAAGATCATTGACATATATAAAAAATAAAAGAGGGCCAAGGTTTGATCTCTGTGGAACCCTGTAATTTATCTTCCGAGGGGACGATGTTGCTCTATTTACCTTACAGTATTGTTCCCTGTTAGACAAATATGATTTAAACCATTCTAGTGCCTTGCCTTGTATCCCGTAATTAGATAACTTTTTTATGAGGATGACATGATCGACTGTGTGGAATGCTTTGCATAAATCAAGAAAAAGTACCCCGTTTATCCTACCAGCATCCATATTCAGTAGCCACGAATCAGTATTTTCTAAAAGAGCAGATGTGGTGGAATGACCTTTGCGAAAACCAGACTGACATGAACTTAAAATCTTATTTTCTTCCAGAAATAGATTGAGTTGCTCGCAGATAAGTTTCTCAAATAATTTTGCAATAACTGAAAGTACAGAAATAGGCCGGTAGTTACCCCGCACTTTCTTATTTCCAGACTTATATATTGGAGAAATCCTTGCCGTTTTAAGATCGTCTGGGAAAATGCAATTATTTAAAGAAGTATTGAAAATAAGTGCCAAAAAGGGGGCCACTACGTCTTTTGAATCTCTTAAGAGTTTGGCCGGAATATTATCTGGTCCTGTGGATTTTGACACATTTATTTTACCAATTCCATTAACTACATCTTGAACTTGGATGCTTTTAAAAATAAACTGGTTTTGAGCTGTAAATTTCATGTATCTTTCAAAACTCACACTGGATTCAGCAATCTGACTTGATAAAGTCGATTCAATGTCAACGAAATAAACATTAAATAAATTTGCTATATTGGAATCTTCTACAAACACTTGCTCGTTAATTTCAAGTGCTGGAATGTTTGACGACTTTGGTCTTTTGTTAATCAGATGATTAATATTCTTCCACATTTGTTTGCTATTATTCGTATTTCCTTGAATACAATTTGTATAACAGTTCCGCTTTGCATGGATAATTTGTTTGTTAATATTGTTACGGAGACTTCGATATGCATTATGAAACGTAGCTGAATTTGTTTTAATTGCTTTTTTCTTTAGGAAATCTCTATAGTTTATACTTTTCTTAATTGCGTCCGTTAGCCAAGGCGATTTCCGGCTTCTAATTTTGCGAACTTTTCTGGGTGCATGAATATCAGCAACATAATTGAAAGTTGTCTTAAAGTTGTCCCACAGTATATTTGGCTCATCAGTCCCCCAATCTACCAATGATAACGCAGCATACAGATCTTGGTTAAAGTTTTGTTGCAGGTAACTCTTATAATCCCTTGACTCGATTATTTTATTATGATTACTATTAAGGCTAAAGGAAATTTTTCTACAGATATAGATCAGACTGTGATCACTATAATGCCAACATGTAAAACGCCCGACTGTAAAATATTTTCGGGGTGACTTACATTCGCTACATCCAGTAGAGTTGCAGTGCTATCAGTAATTCGTGTTGGGTGTTCAATGACCTGGGTCATTTGAAATAGATTAATTATTTCATTGAGTCTTTTAGTATGATTGCTTAAATTATTCTTTAAAAGGTCGCAATTAAAATCGCCAACAATGATCAATTCCTTATGTTCACTATCAAGATTTTGAAATAAGATTTCGATTTTCTCAAAGTACTCAATTCGCGAACTTGGTGGCCTATAAACAGATGTAATTAAGATAGGCTTGGATTTTGGCTTAATAACTTCAAGGCATATTGCCTCGATATTATCTGGGATCAAATCTTCTCTATTTATAACATTCAAAATACTGCGGTAGTAAACAGCAACACCGCCGCCCTCCCGGTTACGACTATTTGCAATCATATCATAGCCAGGTATGCCAACAATTTCCGAACTTATCGTTTCGTCTAATCTACTTTCATTTATGGCTCTTTTTCAAGATATATTTTCAGTTCATCAACATGTTTGAGTAATGAAGCAATATTCAAATGACCAACTCTAAATCCTTTCAGCGATTGTAGGTATTTTATATTATTTACTTTTTCAGAATGTGGAAAATTTTCACATGCATAGGGACTTGACTCCCCATCAGTTGAACCTCTGCTGCTAAAGACTGGAAAACTATTTAGGTTAAAAATGATGTAGATATTTAATAATATTCCTTGCGAAAATGAAGAATCCATATCTGTTCAGATGGAAATGAGATCTATTTAGCGACGTGTTCGTTATATTATTATGCGTTATTAAGCTTAGATTAGTTGCGGTGCAATAGTTTTCTAACAATTTATTTACCTCATTTACCGTTTGTTTGGCTTTCTCGTTATCTTCTCGTTTCGTCAATTCTGACAGTACTATTTCGACATCAGGAGCTGCTTCTTTAATTTCTCGGCATAATCTATCAATATCGTTCATAATTTCAGTCGCTTTTCTTTTGGAGGTATCATTTGTTCCCACGTGTAGAATAATATTGTCTGGCTTTCGTCTTAAAATGGGTTTAACATCATGGGCGTACCGGAAGGAAAAAATTAGGGGGGCGGAAAGAAAATTGCCCGACTTTTCGGGATTCTGCCCGACTAGTACCAAACATTTTTTTCCGGAAACATTATTTTGGCGACCTCCCCCCCCCCTCCCGCCCCCCCCGTCGCCAAAAAAATTTCGGTCAGTGTACCATTTTAGGGGTCAAAAAATTTTTCCGGACAACCAATATTTTCCGGAACATAACACAAATTTTCGAAAAATCACAAAATTTGCCAAAAAATTGACTTCATTTTACACAAAATTTACAGAATTTGTCCCATTTTTTTTTATTGCAAACCAAAATTGCCCGACTGTTGATCGAATATTGCCCGACTGCCCAAAAAACTGGGGGGGGGGGCTACCGCCCCCCGCCCCCCCGCCCGGTACGCCTATGTTTAACATAATCACTCATGTCGCCTACTGTAAATCCTGGAAAGCACTTAACAGTAACATCCTGCTTCACCGCCCTCCTTAGCTTATGTTGTTGTAGACCTTTAACTATCGAGTCTCCAACTATAACAGTCTTTCGTTTCTTTGCCGAGGGAGACTTCACTTCAGCTTGTTTTGCTTTGCTTACCCGTCGAATGTTGGATTGCCTTTCGTCAATCACGCGACATGATTCGTTCAGATCTTCCAAAACACTGTAGCTGTTGTTGTCGCACCATGATAAATTTGTATCTTCTTCACTTGCATTGCCAATTGTAGCTGAGTTGGCTGCAGGTTTAGACATGCCTTCATCATAGCTGGTTATCTTTTTGCTGTCGTCGTTTTTATCTGATTTTCTGCCTGTAATTTTCCAGTGACTGCCTTGCCCTTGCTCGTTCCGGTCAATAGCCACAGCAACATATTTATTTGTATGGTCTTGCATAAGGAGCTTTAAAGCTAGGCGGAGCTGAATCTCGTTCTTCCTCCACTGTCCTTATATGAGCTACAAGCAAGCAGTTTTTATGTTGTTTCTCTTTTAGTTCTAATTGTAGCTTACTTAATTCTTCAGAGGAATTTGTGTTTTTATTATTTGACGACTCAATGCTATTTTGTAAAATAACTATGTCCGACTTTACGCTTTCAAGTTCGATTGCCAATGTTCTACAATTACACGAGCACGAGTACGGTAAAGTTTTATTGCAGATATTTGCGTTCTTGCATGGACTATTCGAGATTTTTTCAGGTGATAATCCGTCTGCATCGTTTTCGTCGTTGGCTTAATTTTGGTTATGAGATCTAGTCATCGTAGTTTGCTTTCTTCACGGCCTTCGTCCTGACATTGAAATTTTATCGCGTTGCTTTCGACTTCGTCCTCATCAAAGGTTTGGTTAACCTTGTTGAGTTGGTCTATCACTCTATTCTTTAAATCGTTTCCATAAGTCCCTTAAAATAGTATATTCTGTTTCTTGGTATAATAGTTGAGAATAAGTTCACCGTTTTGCGATTTAAATCGCTTTGCATGACCACCAGGGGAAGACCATGTCCCTTCGATTCCGAGCAGATCTTGGATAAATTTCTTTAATTGATCAAAATTCTTTCGCCATTTAAGTTTCTTTCCGTCATAGATAAAGCTAGAAAGGCCTTGATAGCCAATTTCTTCTAAACTTTTCATAACCTTTGTTAGAAATTCGGACATTTTGCAGAGCTCAAAAATACGTGACTGTTCGCTCGGGTCATGTGCATTCAGGATCAGTTATCGTCAAACGATAATTTTATCGTTTTAGGTGTAGTATGAATCTAGAAATGGCATGTTTACAAGTTATCATATCGTTATCGTTGTGCATAGGCCTTTTGCTGCCTCTCGATATCGTTCACTTTCGTAGTGCATGTGGTGGAACTGAAATATTTTTACGGGAACTAGCACTTTCAAACACGCTGAGTTCAAATCCGAAGAGTTCCCGTTCCGTAGGTCTTGCGTTTTCTCACAAACTAGTATTTTATTTTCTCTAATTTCTCGACTAACTTTTTCTTTGTTCAATGACAAGGATGGACGATGACACACTCTTATGTAACTCAAAAGGACTAATTTCTATTAAAGCCTAGTTTCCATTTGGTCGTTAGTTGTCGCTAGCACGACAAGCGCTAGGTGTGAAATAGTCTAATAATAATAGTCTTTTGTGTGCTATATGCAAATCAGTCTTAATGATTGCAGAGTTTTATAAAGTTTTGTTGACACTCTATTACATCAGCCACTTGCCGTGCCAGCGACAACTAACGACCAAATGGAAACTAGGCTTAACTAGTCTTCCTTTTAACAAAAGACCGTTTCGCTCGAATCATTTTGAGTCATGTAATCTTATGCGTGTTGAACGTAAACAACATATATCGTTTACAACTTTGGGAAGGTACAGATAACGCTATCTAACATTCACAGTTCTAGCGATATCTCTATAAAATCACAAGGAAGTTAATGCTAAGTCGTTTGGCTATGTCACTGGCCAGATGAATAGCTCGTTTAGCGCAATCATGGTATTTAAAACAACAGAACGCAAATCCAACGTAACGGCAAAAACAACGCTAACATAAAATATTGTCGATTGGTTGCTAGTTGAAGACTTACGACAGGATCAATCATAAATTCTTCTAGAATAAATGTACACATTAAAGACAAAGAACAGTACGAAAGTATAAAATCTGCTCTGTAAACTTACGACGAAGTAGAGAAATGTGTCCATGAGCTGTGTATTTGGTGATCTCAACGTATATGGAAGCCTTTTCCCCGATAATATTCGCTTATCGCGCAGAGTGACACCAACTGATATAATAGTTCAAATGCAATGATAAGTTACCTCTTGAATTACGTCTCTGGCAGAAACTGTGTTGAAAATTTGAATGCTGATCCATTACATAAGATTACCATTTTACATCGCGGTATAAAAATTTTGATCGCATGCCAAGGAATTTTTCCTTAGGCCAGCGACATAGCCCAAAGACTTAACATTAACGTGCTTGTAATTTTATAGAGTAGAGCCAAAACTGAGAATTTTAGAAAGCGATACCGGCACCTTCCCAAAGTTGTAGACAAGATTTCTTGTTTACGTCCAACGCGCTTCAAATTACATAACTCAAAGTGATCCAAGCAAAACGATCTTTTGTTAAATGTAGAGACTGGGTCATAGGAATTAGTCATTTTGAGTTATGCATTCGTGTATCATCATCCATCCGTGTCGTTGAACAAAGAAAAAGTTAGTCGTGAAATTAGTGAAAATAGAATAGCAGTTTGTGAAAAAAATGCAAGGTCTACGGAGCGGGAACTTTTCGGATTTGAACTCAGCGTGTTCGACAGTACGTGTTAGTTCCATAGATATCTTATATACACTAGATAGTGCATCTAATTATTCTGCAATTCAAAAATTGAAGCCGTGATTGCAGTCTCAGGTCGTTCCCATGAAATGAGAAGATTCGTATGTTTTCTATTTCTTAAACAGGGAACTTAAACATTAAGTTAACCCTATTCCAAATACGTTTTTAAACTATTCATATGATGAAAGTTATTGTTGTTTTTAAGCGTTTATTAACAAGTGGGAACGACCAACATGGCCGCCATCTATTCAAATGGAAGTAACCGCTGGAATATTCTTGGCTTCAATTTACTAAAAGAGATGCGCTATCTAGTGTATATAAGATATCTATGGTTAGTTCCCGTAAAATATTTCAGTTCCAAGATATGCACTGCGGAAATCGTTTTCTAGGCACTTTTAAAGGCCACAGCAAACGGTCTAGTAGTATGACCTAGGCTTTATGTCGTAATACATTATGTGAATGTTCGTAGCATTGCTTAGCGACCCCCAGCAGCGCTGCCCAGTTGGGTAGTTGATTCTGATTGGTCACGATTGCACGTAATGGACTCTGATTGGCTGGACTTAAATATCAATGAACGTTGGAGTTTGATTTTTAAAATCGGAATAATAATTTCTTAATTGATACTTGATGTTCATCATAAATTTTACTGCTCTCTATATTTGTAACTGCTAAATTCTCGTTGCAAAAATGTTTCGGATGTTTTGTAAAGTAATATGATATCCTATTGAACAAATAAAATGCAACAAATGAGTTGATATTATCGCCAATTCCTGAGCGTGATGTGACTTATTTACGTATCGTATTCACCCCACATTCCCCGTGTGCATTATTACACTATAAATGCACGCGACGCTTCTTGTGTTGAAATTATGAGACACTACGAAAAACGGTATTGAAACGAAGCAATATTATTGCCGTACAGCCGCCATTTCACTTCTGCCTATTATGAACGAGGCACTTCAATTAGCTGATTGACGGAATTCTTTCTGTATATATGCATTCAAGTAATGTAATTATAACAATATTTATTCTAACCTGAGTAGTTACCAACATTCAAAATGTAAACTTCACTTTCATTTCCCATAGAAAATGATTCATAAACTGCATAGGCTCTCTCGTTCTCAAAACTTTCGAGATCAACTCTCAGTATATTCTGCCCACTGGCTGAGAGGCGATGAATCTTGTCCAAACCAAGCCAGAACTCACCAGACAAATTGCCAAATCCAGTTTTGTAGTCAGTCCAGTTTCTGTAAAAGTCCTCAGAGCCATCTACACGTCTTTGAAATATAGTTATGGTATATGGTTTCCATATCACAACGACCACGAAAAGCTCCATGGCCATCTGGGTCGATTGTGTAAACCCCGGTGGTTGACTTGCCTGATTTGTACAGGTCATTACAACATTTTGCTTAAGAAAAAAGTATATTAAGTATACTATACTCCTAACCTCAACATAACCTCAACCAATTATTAACCCAATTTCAACCAAACCTCAACCCAAGTTCAACTTAACCTAAAAACAAATTTACTTCAAACTTAGCCTCAATCTTACCTCAACCTACTACAACCTGACCTCGCCTAACCTTGAACGAATGAATGTGTTTGAAGTTATCATACCATAATTTACTGGTTCTTGTTTTTGTATTTCCTGCAATGAAAAATATATATTTAATTTTTGCATTATGAAGTCATACACCAAAAATATTAAATAGAATATGCGTATTCGATTCCTATCTTTGCAAAAATATCTGGAGAAATCGTTTTTCAAAAATATAATTTCGACGTTGCTGAAATACCTAAACAAAACTCAAAGGACAAAATTGAAGTCAGCTATAACACAACCGTTTTACCCTAACATATCGATTTTCATTAATTAATCTTGTTAGATTCACACAATAATTTTGCATATCTTTACCTCCTTCAATGCTATTAAAATGACAGCTTTCAACTCAGGACAATTATGTAGGGTATAGTTTTTGTATTAGGAGCGTTGTAGCGTCCAGAAAATGTCGGCAAACATACTTGCGGCAACTTGGAGCAATTCCATTTTGCCTTCCAATCACGATTTCTTTCCCCTCGCGATTTTGTGAAGGGTGGGATTGGAAAAACGGGGATACTTGATAAGACCCAATTTGTTTCATTTATCAACGACATAAACAAAATTATTGCTCGCCTAAAATATTGTTTTCCATTGTTTATACAAAAAATTCTATAAAAGTATACCTTTTGCACCGTCAGCGGTTCATAATAATCATAGTTTTTATTAGGCAGCAAATTCTGAGGATGTGCTGTTTTCGTGGCGTTGTTAAGCTGGCAGTTATTAGAAGGATGCTTATGTTTTCTCGCTTTGTAATTGATTGATTTACAGTGAGAAGGTTTTCTGAGGCAGTATAGAGAACATTTCAAGAAATTCAGTGTGTTGTGTTCACTGATCACATGGCCGTATAGACGGTAACCTGCAGAAAAAATAAAGAAAATATCAGAGACGCAAGTATAACTCGGCAGAACGCACTTACACTGAAACACCTCAATCGCGTGCGTGAAGAGTAAATGGTATTGGACTGAAGTAAACACTGCAGGATTTTCTCTATGTTCCATGTGAAAAAGCTGGAACATAATTTTTTTATAGAAATGATAAAGATACCCTGTATAAATGCAGTTATTTTTGTTATCGGGTTCAATGTTAAAGTTTCATCGACGCACTCCAGCTGTTGAAAAAGTAGTAAACAGTACTGCTAACACTTTTGCAACCTGAAAACCACAAGATCCATGGTGTTCTTACAAAATATTTCCAGGCTTTTCAGTTATTTAACATCCCTGATATGGACACAAAATCTTACTGTATTATACTGAGGCCTAATTTTGGTTTCTTTCCAAATTTTAATAATTTTATTGCAGTACTTACCTGACATGGACAATTTGAACAACGCACTTGAGTGCAGAGAACTGCAGGTCTGTGTGTACAGCAATAACAGATAGACAAACAGGATATGACCAGAATTCATGACTGCTGAATATAGTTACTTCCAAAATTCACTCCGATGCCTGTACAGATATATCAAATGTTTTGCATGACTACGTTAGTTTAAAAAAACTCAGGGGCGAATCCAGCATTCTGGCATTACTTTTTTTATTAATTCAGTCATTGAGAAATACATGTTTTTGAGAGTATTTTAGATAATACTCATGCAGCTCAAAGAATAATTGGAATTCAAATGGTTGCTCAAATACTTTTCGGAAACATAAAGACCGTTTGCACCTTTTTATTTTCGTTTTTAATTTTATTTCATTCATATATAAAGAATGGAGCTAGCCCGCGCTTGTCGAGATAATGACCGGCTGCTTTTAATTAAAGGGGTTATTAAGATAACCCGCGGTTCTCTCTAACGCGGGCACCGGTATCGGTATCGTATACGTGTCATTTATTTTAGTGCCTTTTCACGATTTCTGCGGAAATTTCCCATATACATTTTGCGGCTGTTTGTAGAATAGCACTTTTTCAATCATTGGCAAGCGTTATAGTATACAATTGCGTAGGGTGCATTCTATAAGAAACTCGAAAAGTCATAATGCTATACCTTTAGCTTGTCTTATTTTACAGGTATGGTCTCCTCCTGTACCTAAGTTATTCCATGTAATTACATTTACTAAATACTTACCTATATCTTGACTCCTATATATTTCTAGTATTCTGTTCAAATGCTTAATGACTTCTTTATGTAAGCGTCATGCATTTAATGTAGCCCCATTATAATCGTTAACTTTGCATACATAAATAGTATTTACTAATCTGAAAACTAGGACTGCGTAGAGTATTCCTTTCAATTCAAAGGGCCAATTTTGAAGCATAAATACTTACATGCAATCAGGGACGTAGCGAAGGTGTGCTAGTTGGGGGGATGCAATGCAGTAATCTACCTTATTTTAAACTATTGTAAAAATTTACCTGAAAATATAAACCCCCCTATCTTTGCGTACTGCGATGTTGTGGTGCATTTCTCCCCTGAACAGCTATCACCTTGATATTTAACCCACATTATCCATTTTTACAACACTTTTTTATTACTTACAAATCTTACTTACAAATCTCCAATTAGGTAGTTAATTTTAAAATACCATAATCACATTGATTAGTTATCTCTCGGCCTTCCAATAACTATAGTCAATTTTAACAAACTTTTGTCGAAGCAGTCCATCCGCCATTTTTATGTAGGGAAAAGGAACGACAATTGTGAATTGATGTAATTTAGTTAATAGAGATAATTTGGAGCTGAACGAGAACTGCGTTTTCCTATACAATAAACTAATGTTTTTAACCTTTACTGTTTTCAAGCAATCGCCAATCGGCGGTTTTTCAAGATTAACCATTTTTTTGCAGCATGAGCTCCACTTTTGAAATTACTATATGACTAAATTCTTAAACACGTCCGAATTTATCATTATGATAAATTCGCGGCACATTTTGAATTTATCATAATAATAAATTCGCGGCACATAACACTAACCCTAACCCCAACCCCAACCCCAACCCTAACCACTAACCCCTAACCTCTAACATTTTTAACTTTTTAAAGTTTTTAAACTTTTTTAACTTTTTTAAAAATCTAACTTTTAAACTTTTTTTGCTTTTTAAAACTCTTTTAAAACTTTTTTAAAACTTTTTAAAAAACTATTTTCTTAAAAAATTGAAAAACAAAAGTGCCATTACATTTATAGCAAGAAGTCTTGTCTAATGATTGTGGTTTTATGATTAATTCTATTGATAAATTCAGAATGTGCCGCAAATTTATCACAATGATAAATTCGGATGTGTTTAAGAATTTACTCATATTGTAAATTCAAAGGTGGAGCTCATGTTGTTTTTTTCGCGATCGCAGTAACATCAAAGACATCAGTGATATTTTTTCAGCGGCAAGGATCATGCAACGTACGTTCTCCAGATATTTTATTACGTGAATAACTTTTACAATCTTTAGTAAACTGAATGATCTCTCATTTTTCACAACGGCAGGGGCGGCTGTCTGAAATTGTTTACAAAGCCAACTTGAAAAGATCACGCTTTTTGCCACCTTAAAGGGTATGGGCAATGAAAATTGCTTCATCTATCTTATTGCTTCGTCTGAAAGAGCATGAAAAAATAAGCCGATTGGCCGTTTAATGCTCTATTCTATCTCATCTAGTTCCGAAATTATACGCAAAAATGTGCAAAATATAAATTGCCGATTCAGCACAACGTGGGACGTCATTAGCTGGGTAAGTATGTTTATTGAATACTACACTGAAACATAGCTCAGTTATTATGGGCCCAAATCAAATGAAATTTTGGATACTAATTGTACATGATGAGACGCATGGAAAAACACTTCTAATTTTGCTGCCAAGGTAACAATGTCGTTCCCAGGCCCCTTGCGCAAATTTTATAAAACAGCTTTATTCAAGGTACTGATAAAAATAAAATAATATCAGAAGTATGTGTGTGATACCTATGCATGCCGAAAGTTTACTTGCATGATAATAATTCGAAAATGACATACACATAGAGAAATGCAACTAGTTATTCAAAATCAGTGTAAGGGGCCTGAGAACAACTGTGTTGCCTTGACAACGAAATTAGAAGTATTTTCCCATGTGCCTCATCATGTACTATCTGTATGCAAAATTTCATTTGATTTGAGACAATAATAACTCAGCTATGCTTTAGTTTACTATTCAATAAACATACTTACCCAGCTTATGACGTCACACATTGTGCTGAATCAGCAATTTATATTTTGCACATTTTTGCGTATAACTTCGGAACCAGATGAGATAGAATAGAGCAGTAAACGGCCAATCGGTTTATTTTTTCATGCTCTGTCAGATGAAGCAATAAGATAGATGAAGCAATTTTCATTGCCCATACCCTTTAAGAGCAATGTTTGCAGCGAGCGTACATGACATGGGTTTTGCCTCAAGACCTTGCGATATATATATATATATACATATATATATATATATACATATTCAATATTGAATTTGTGCCTAGTGAACTAGAGTGCTCAACACCAATAAATCAGTAGAGCAAATAAAAAGACAAAAACAACAAAATTCAATACGTAATTAATTAATTTAATCGTACGCTGTACGTGAAACACTGTGTAGCGATGAAATAAAATTTTAAGATTGAATTTTGATGTTTTTGCCTTTTTATATATTTATATATATATATATATATATATATATATATATATATATATATATATATATATATATATATATATATATATATATATATATATATATATGTATATATATATCGGCCATTTGTGTAGAATTAATAAACTACAATGTAAGTAAGAATATGACATAGTGCACGGCACATAATACACATCACACATAAACACGTTCAAATTTTGCATCCGGATATCATATCACTTTTGCTGTATTAATCTAAGCAAACAAATAATTCTATGTAATTCAAATACACTGTATTATTATAAAAAAGTAGATGAAATTAATGATTTCTTGCACGTACCTTGTGTGTAGAGCCAAACCAAAAGGGCCCAAAAAACGGAAGTGAATTATAAATGTTACTTAGCGAAAAAAAATTCTGGTTATTTTTGCCGATGGAAATGGTAAAATAGACACTTTAACATAACGTGCAACAACATATTCTTTTCGTAAAATAAACCCTGGCTCGTTGCAAAAACGGAAATCTCTGAACGTATCAACGTATGAAGCCAAAAAGAATTAAAACCTCATCTACTTTCCACATTTCAATCCTCTATTATTTGCCTGTTTCCGTTAGGGTTTCAAGATTTTTTACCTGATTTATTAACGCCAGTTTTTTATGAATTTACCTGAAATTTTTAAATCGTCTTAGTCGAGGGGTGTCAACCCCCCTCCCCCATCCCCCCGGTCGCTACGTCCCTGCATGCAATGAGAAGAAATTTTCAAATGCAACAGATGACCATTTCCTATCAATGTACATTACGCGTCCTTTCCAACAATAGAATAACTATAAGAACCTCTTCTAATATGTCAGCAATGCTATCGTGGATTCGTGTTGGTCACATGAATATGGCCGCGATTGGTTTCATTTATGCATAAGGGATGCACTATCTACTGTCAGGTTTCAGATAAGAGTGAATATTATTGTTTCCTTTGTTGTCGCACTCTTGCATGCTCAAATTATTCAAATGATATTGTTTTAAAATAGTATTTTAACACATAGTTATATAGTTCGCATATTCACTGAGACATTTACTCAGGCTATGGCTCTCATTCGTGCGTAAATTACAACTAAAATATGATAAAAGTCTTACCGAATTTCTTAGAATTTATATTGCGCAAAATTGCATTGTAATATGATCTAATTCGCTTAGTAAGTAGGAAGCTCGGGATACTTTGCCGTTTATGTAGTCAAAGACAGCATTTCTCCCCTCTGGATACATAGATTCCCCCTTCTGTCCTGCCGTATCATAAAGCCTGGTTCCTGCGCTTCTTGTTGATACAAAATGGCGCAATATATTCAAAACAAAGCATGGCTTGGAAGCGTTTTTTAATAGACGTGGATATAAACCCCGCGTATATTGCGTCGTGTCTATAAGTTAATTTTCGTGATTTTTAACGTTTATGGGAACCAGCTAACGGGGTCGGATCACTATGAAAATAACAGAAGTAATATTTGATAATGTACGAAGAGAGGGCGGAAAGTTGCACCAGAAAATACGGCCAACTTCAAATGGACGCTAAATGTGCTCGTCCACGCGGAAATGGGGTTCATTAATATACATAGCACTAGCCATATCACACTGGAATCGCAAAAGTGTGGAATCTTACGGAGGTAAGACTATGGATGAAACGTATTTTGTTTGACTACCGAGATGATTTTCGTGCCCAACGAAGGGCGGCAAATGATATAGCTGTTACCGAACTCGTTCAAATTTGAATTATATTACACTACGTACTCATACAAGATGTTTGTGATGTTACTCTGAGTGTATATCCAAACCGGGAGAACTTGAAAAACATGCCCGGCCACGGTGAGAATCGGGCCCACGATCCCCGGAATACTAGCCCAATGCTTCCCCCTGGCTGAACCACGCGGCCAGGTCGGTTCGATAGTAAGTGATATTTCGGAACAGAATCTCGTTCCTTCGATATACCAATGTAATCTAGTAATATGATTAATAAAATCATATTACTAGATTACATTGGTATCGAAGGAACTAGATTCTGTTCCGAAAGATTACTTACTCGAACCGACCTGACCACGTGCATGGCTCAGTTGGCGGAGCATTGGGCTTCTATTCCGGGGCCGGGCATGTTTTTCGAGCTCGCCCGGTTTGGATATACACTCAGAGTAACATCACAAACATCATATTCACCTGCATGAATACAACAGGTTGGAAAATTGACTCAGCATTGGCGAAAACTGCTCGGATTTTCAGCGGGAGAAGTAGAATGCGTGCTTCTACTTGGTTGATTTAAAAAACATAAACAACACGAACGGAGCCTTCGAAGGACAATTTTGCAGCGGCTATTTAGGCCCACAAATCACCACAAAAATTGGATTTACTGACAAAAAATGTTGCAGTAATACTTTTATTTCCTCTTTTACTACATATTTTACAATGTATAAACTATTAATATCGATTATTTCAGTGCAAAACAAAACAGAACAAAAAATTTCCTTTTAAAATGTCGTCTGATAGCTTCAAACCGAAAATACTAAAACTTCTTCATTTTTTACAAAGCCAAAAATTTAATACCGACTTTAAAATGCTTTGAAATTTAATGTAAAACAGCGATATTTCGTTGGCACAACCTGTAACATGACAAAATTTGTGTTTATAGAATTTTGAACGAGTGAAAATTGTCTTTGAAAATAATACAATGTTTGCGTTTCGGAATGAGGGTCATAGAAAAATCTGATTGCTATGTCTATCTCTTTTTTAAGTACTTTGAAAACCTAAAAATAATATTTAAAACTATTATAGCAAAACACATGGTAAAATTTTTATTCTGACGCTCATTTTCTGAGTCGCCTTTTTCGTACAAATCACACTTGCACATGAAATTTGCCAAAATTCAGTATTTTCTTCACATTTTAGGCGAGTTTACATTCTATTAGCAAAAACTAGAAAGAAAAACACATCTTTTGGCCTAATCACATTTCAATGGTACAACATGTAAATGAGAAAATGAATTAGGTGAAAAACAAGCAATTTTAGCAAAATACCTCGCATACTGAAATTTGACGACGATGATCGTTGGCGCACAGTAGCCTATCACTCAAAAAACAAATATTTATACTTTGTCCTGGACAACAAACGCGTTCGTGTTGCAAATTTTAAGTAATATTCCATCAATATTAAGTTCATGCTAGAGGTTATTTGTCATCAAAAACACACATTTTGCAAGAAACGCATTTTCGGCCATGTTTCAGCGAATAATTCTTGACTGCTAACTTCCCGTTTGCGACGTTTATTAGCGTTTACGTCTGCTGGCTTTCTTTTACTTTTCCTCTGCTGCAGTACGAGAAACAGGCTAAAGAAATCTGTATTTTTATTGTTTTCACAATTTTTGCTGGCAAAAAGAAAGCGTCCACGATAAATTTGGTCAGCGACGACAATTTTCCTGTTCCTGAGTACACAACACCAAGACAGAAAAAAATCCTACCCATACATTTTACTATAGTATATGCCCGCCATCTTTGTTTACTAAATTCCGAGGATGCGCAGTTCAAATATCCCTCATTTCTGACAATGTGCAACTAGGGTATACAAGGTACTGTTATAAATTTTTCTAATTTGATCCATTGCTGAGTCTCGTTTAATTGAAGATGGAATTACTTTTCGCAATACGTTTTGTAATCATGCAGTAACGCAGCTATATGCTGTTGTACAGTCATCATGCACGGCCATGGACATGCAAGAATTTTCAGATTCCTGACCAAAGTCTTAAAAGTTGCCAATTCAACTCTTGGTTGTTAATTAAGTAAAATTGCAGGATGAAAAATTTAAGATGAATCGAATGAAGGAAATTGAATGACTTTACAAATTGTGTATATCACTTCTACAACTTAATGTATTATACAGTTTCAGTTTAAACACGGATGTATACACGTTAATTTCTGGTATGTTAAACCTTAAATGTTGGTTCATGGTCAGAAATCACGGACAAAATGGCGGATAATTCGATTTCTTATGTGCACAACGAACGTATTTTACGAAACCAAGATGGCGGATATTATACAGTATTCTATTACAGACAATATAAAATCGATGCGCACAATGTCAGTGAAATATAGAATGATTTGCATGTTCAACACGTCTACAAATAATATTATCTACCCTGAAAATATAGCTCTCGAGGGTTTTGACGTTTCACGATTTGCATTAGCCGGCCCGAGTAAAATCGATTCAAAACATTTCCACACAATATAAGCTTCTATTAAATTCAGCAAATGCTCCCTACTCGCTAACATTTAGTCCATTATAGCGCTGTCGCAAACGTTTGCCAACAACTTCCACACGTCTACATTTCTTATACGATGTTCGATCTCCCATTGCGTATAAGTTTTAAAACACCAGAGATTTTAGCTAAGTGGCGCCAACACTTTCAAATTGTCTGTTTTGAGGCAAAATAAAACCTGAAATTCATGTCATTGCGAGCGGTTTAGGGTAGAAAAAAACTCAAAACGTTGCCAAATACAACGCAGAAAATGCCCTATTGCTTCGCCATTTATAATCATTTTAAGGGGCAGCCGCTGACTAACAACTGCGAGGGCAAAATGCTCCAAAACAAAAGAAATTGCGGGAAATGCAAATATATTCAAATTTGTTTGGTCTTCTAAAGTTTAGAATGTTGTATTATCTTCGTTATAATTTTAAGAAACTCATTCCTACAGTCTTTCACTTATATAATCATCTATCCCTGGATCAAATTTATATTGAACTCTTTGTAAAAAGACATTGTCGAATGTATTTATAAAGTTTGTTTATAGTAGATTTGAAGTCGCCCGTATGTCACGCGCGCGCGTGGGAACAGTTTCTGCGCCCACAATTAAAACCGCTGAATGTCCGTGATTTCTGGCAATAGACGGTTTTAGATAACAAGACGCGCACGTCAAGAGGACGTGGAAATGACGTATGCACCTCGCGTTCACTTCCGGGTTTTAATCTGGGACGGCTTGTTTGTCTTTTTCGAAGCAAATTTTTGTTTTCTTGTTACCTGTTCATTCCTGCATTGTTTTCAATCAGTTGTCAAGATATGTGCAAGAAAAGGTTATATAATACTGGCCAAGTGTTTCCTGACCAATTAGTATGAACATTCAATAAGTTTTTTTTAGAAAAAAACGTATATTTCTGTAGTTTGAAAAGTGAACTTTGTTGCATCATTTGGAATAAATACAGGTATTGTTTACGATCTAAATGCTTTATTGTAGCCTATTCAATCAAGTTTGTCACCTGTTCAGTATAAATATAGCATCAGTGTTTATATTGGTAAAATTTAATACTGTTTACGATAGTTTTTCACGCTGGAGAGTTTTTTTTGCATGTCCTACTTTTTGCACTGTTGTGACAGAGCAACTAAAATTGATCGAGTTTTTACTGCTTTTAAGTGCTTTTATTTTTCTATTTTCCCACGTTTTCCTGATTTTAAACAGTTGTCAATATAACTTCAGTTTAGTGTGTTCTAAAATATTTGTTTTGGTGAAGATTAGTAGCGGTATTGAAGTGGTTATTAACAATGTTCGCAGTTTTGTTGATTTGTTTATGGCGACCGAAAGTGTTTGTCGAAAATCAACTCGTCTAAAATTTACCTTGTCAATGGAAAAACTTTAGCTAGTATCATTAAACAATACATGGGGAACAAAATAGGATGATTTTTATTATGTATAGTCTCATATTTTTTTCAAAAGAAGCAAAAATCTGTGAAAATTGTATTTTCGAGTCGTGAAATCGTCCAAGACGACGTCGCAAACCAGAAGCTGACGATAGTTGGCGCCAAATGACGACATCCACGTCCTCTTGACGTCCACGTCTTGTTATCTAAAACCGTCTAATGTCTAATTAGGTGTGGCTGATAGAATCACTACTATATCCTATAGCTTACCTGTGCTTTGCTGAATTTTAACTTCTTGTCAGAACGGAAAACCAATGCATGAATAACTGAAAACGACCTAGAAGCGACCGTTTACACTGCTTCGCATAATTGGTTAATGAACATCTGGTCAATACGCATCATTATAACGAAAACTATACTTAACAAGCCGAAGGCGAAGTGAACACGCCGAAGACGAAGTGATTACCGGTGAATATTCACCGAGACGAATTCGAGGAGAATATTCACCGTAATCACTGAGCCTGAGGGGAAAATGTTTTAGTATAATTTTCAAAGAATGAAACAAACATCATCAGTTAATTAAAATTCAGAAATAAAACTGTTTTCGGCCAGTTCACGGTTACTGTTTTAGTGTTGCAGTGTTTCTTGTAGACAAACGCTTTCAAAATGGCTTCGTGTGTGACTTCATTGCTTTAGTACAAATTAAGTTGTTTTTCTCGATTTCTGCTTGGAATATAAACACAGCGATGGTATAACTTTTTCACCGGACTTCGAATTAAAAATAGTTTCTGTTTAGTATTAATTTGTTCAAGAAATAGCTGAGAAAATTGGTAAATGGAATGTAAAACTGTTGCTCGAAATAAAGTTTTAATTAATACACTTTCACTTTACAACAATACAACACAGCGTCAGGACACCATGCATGACACCAAGCATGACATATTAAAAGAAAAAGTGTTGTGCAAACCGAGACATCTATAGCCTATATAGGATACAAAACAAAATGGTTTTAAAAGAATATCACGGCAAAGTTTTTCCCCACTCTGTCTCTGTGCATAGATCCCGGCAGTCATTAGTATTCATAATATAAATAGCTCATATATGGCTAATTTTGTCTAAAAAGGTCATTTTGCGATATAAATTTCATGCAGCGAGCTGGTTAGTAGCTCATGCAGCAGCTAAATCATGCGGCTGAAACGTTCGGGGGGTGGGATCGATAAAAGTCGGGATACTTTTTGCTTTTTGTTTGAAGTGAATGTTTCGGAGTTTTACATAAATATTGCGTCGTCAGTTTTACTGGTCAACTATAGCCAATCAGATTTAATTTTTTTGTATTTTCACAAGTAATAAAATAAAATGTATACAAGCCTTTAATGTCCAATTGAATAGAATTGATGTGGGAATGAGCCCTTTCAGGGGTTGCCATATATATATATACTGATTAAGATGTTCGATTTTTAAAAAAAATTAAAAAGTTCAACTGCAACATGATATCAGTCGAAGCACATCTGACGCTGAATAACTATTAATCATGTATCATGACCGGAATTGTAGAAAAAAATTATCCTTCGTCCCAAATAAAGGGGAGATGCGTTTCCCCATCTCACCGCCCACCAGGATTGACGCCCTTGAAGGCACTGCCTGCTTTGAGACCTTGCTTTGGCAAAGTCCTATAGCAAACTACCGGTTTGAACCTTGCTTATCTTGCTAAAAACGTTGCAATTCATTGACTAATTTTGACAATTTGAAAGAGGTCTGCAAATTGTCCCATAACATAATCAATAATTCAAATCGCATGTCGTATTAATTAATGCGACCGTAGATATAAATATTGCGCTGCTGTTAAAAAATAATAAAGAACAGAGTATTGAAAAGTTTTCATGAGTTCTAAAGAACTATGAGTTCTGTTGTTATAAACTGTACGGGGCCAGTTGCCGTCATTCCCCACCGTGTACCAATACAACTGACTTAAAATTATCAGAGAGGCAAAATTTTGAATATATAGTTTTCCTTCACTGGGACGCGATTAACCGTTTGGTGTATATATATATATATATATATATATATATATATATATATATATAGCTCAAAGAGCTACAAAATAAATTGTAGTTGTTATTGTTGTTATTTTTGTATATATATATATAGGCTATATATATATATATATATATATATATATATATATATATATATATATATATATATATATATATATATATATATATATATATATATATATATATATATATGTGCAAAATTCAGCAGCATCACTTCTCACACTACTTTTGGTTGATTGATTGATTGATCGAAGAAAGATAACTATGTAATAAAACGAAAATGCTATGTTTGAAACGGAAATTTCGATTGTAAATTTTATACATTTACTTCGACCTAATCAAGAGTAGCTGCGATAGTGTATGAAATTTGCACTCTAATTTTCCAACAACAAAATCCTTGAACATTATTTCAGTCAGTTCATTCAACATTAGGTCAGATGCCCAATCCTGATATGTTCAATCCTGATAAGTTTAATTTAAGATGGGATTATACTCTTCGTGATATGTTTTGTAATCTGTAACGCAGCTATATATACGCTGCTGGTTTTCATTCCAAGGAGGGAAAACCCAGAAAGAAAATGTGCCTTTATTTTGAGACTATCCTTGCGTAGAGCATGGCAAATTTTAAAAACCGAATTTTTCAAAGTGCATGGGCCGAACAATTTTGCCAAGGATGTGGAT